GTAAACCTACTATCTAGAATAAACACTTCCTACTCGTGGACAAAATTTATTCTAATATATAGTTGCCAAAGGTTCTTCTGCTCAATAGCAAAATGTGTCATATTATATCAATGCACAAGCACTTAAGTTTGAAGTGCATCCATTAAGGTGCTTTAGCCACACTATAAAATCTATAAATAAATGGTTTGAAATACTATAATAAAAGACTAAACTACAGGGTATCCTCCATAGAGAGAATCAACATAATGATTATTTTAGCACCAGAAACATATTGAATTCTTCAACTCATTCATATATTATTTAAATTGTACTTACACTTGCCTGGCAAATATCTGCAAAGGGTGGAGCATTTGCCTATTCCTATAAAACTATAGCACCATTAAAGAACATTACCTAAATATCTTTAACATGTTACCTTTTTTTCCCCACTCAAAGTAGATTAGCACAAAATATTCACCATATTTTTTGGCTACTAGCCATCGCTCCAACATCTGCAGTAAATTAAATTAAACAGCAATGCTTAAAATGTTTCCTAATGAAATATGCATGTTAGTCAAGCCAGATATTTGTAATACCTATTCAATCCTTGAAAACCAAAAACCAATGTTGAAGGTAATGAAACGCCAATTTCTGGGCGAGGCTGAGTCGCTCCCTGAAGCTATTCTCTCTAATAGTGTGCCAAACTATTATGTGTCATCAGTCGCCGAGTTCTTTTGGCCTATTGTGGTCCCCAGTAGGCCAAAAGATCCTAGCCTATCGTGGTCCCCAGTAGGCCAAAAAATCCTGGCCTATCGTGGTCCCCAGTAGGCCAAAGGATCCTGGCCTATTGTGGTCCCCAGTAGACTAAAAGATCCTGGTCTATCCTGGTCCCCAGTAGGCCAAAAGATCCTGGCCTACTGTGGTCCCCAGTAGGCCAAAGGATCCTGGCCTACCGTGGTCCCCAGTAGACCAAAGGATCCTGGCCTACCATGGTCCCCAGTAGACCAAAAGATCCTGACCTACCGTGATCTCCAGTAGGCCAAAAGAGCCAGGCCTACCTTTGGACTTAAATAGGGGACCACAGGAAGGCCAGGTTCCTGTGGCTTACCTGTGACATCAGAGCCCAGGTTCTAGTTAAAAGAGCCTTTTGGCCAGGTTCTAAGGAACCTGGGCCTCTCAAAGTGGTGAAGGCAGCTGTGGCACATGTAGTAAAATTAATATGATTTTATTCATGTCTGCTGCCATCAGGTAATCACCATTAAGTCAGATAAACAAAACAGACCACTGCTGGTTATAAGCAAGACTGCAGCCTTGAAAACTGCCAAAGGAACTTTCCCCAACAATGTAAACAATACAAAATTCACGAAACTAGCGAGAGCTCGTTCTCCCCCATCTCCACCTTGTTCGGGGGGAAGAAGGATGGAGGTATCTCTGGTCAGCCAGCTGCTCCACCCTCAGTTCTAGAGGATGGAAACACCCCTGATGTCCTGAGGAAGGGAGGCTAACTGGAAGCCACTGGGACTCGCCCAGAAATTGGTGTTCTATTACATTCAATGCTGGTTTTCTGGTGAAAGCCACTTGAGGCTTTCTGATGCTAACTACCCATGGAGAAGGAAACAAATGGGCACATACCAGGTAGGAGGGAGTACCCCAGGAATCAAAACAAGAAAAAAACAGCCATACAAACATGACCTAGAATCAAACAGGGATGCTGGGGGATCAAGTTCAGAGAAGACACACCAAGCTGCCAGAACACAGGTTGACCCCAAAAACACCCATGCCCAAAATACAGCCCAGAACATATAAGCCAAGACAGCCAAAAGAGTGGTACAACTGTGAACAACACAATCACGAGGACAGACTACAGGTTGGCTAGACAGAACGATCCTGTGGATCCTGCGAGACACATGACCCAAATGAACAAATCCACAAAGGCCGTGATGAGGATTCAAACCTACGTCCGAGAACATCCCAGACGCTGCCTTAATCGACTGAGCTACGACATGGTCAAAAAGAGTTGAAACTACTCAAAAGAGTAATGAAGTAAGGGCGAAGAGGTAGAACGGCCTATTGACATAGTTCGAGTGCATGGGGGGGGAGGGAGTTATGTAAAACCCTGGTTTGTGTCTCAGAGAGGCTGCAGGATCCAAATAAGTTCAGTAGAACTTCTGGTTTCAACTCTTTTGACCATGTCGTAGCTCAGTCGATTAAGGCAGCGTCTGGGATGCTCTCAGACGTAGGTTCAAATCCTCGTCACGGCCCTTGTGGATTTGTTCATTTGATGCATCACGCTATTGTGATATGTGTGTGTGATGACATGACCCAAATACACACAAGGGCAATGGGGCCCAGGTACAGCAACAAAGGATTGGGCAAGCAGAATCCTGTGTGAGCCCTAAAACCTCTATGCCCAAAGATTAACCCAAAAGCTGTTTGTAAAGCCAAATAAGAAGACACAAAGAACTGAACACCAAGAGCATGAGGGAAGACCACAGGATGGCAAGACAGGATGACACTGCGGACAACCAGAGAAACAAACAACTGAATAGGGAACTCAGATGACATGACAACCCACAATGAGGCCACCGAGACAGAACTGGTGGCACAAAGGCAGCAGAAAAAACTGACAACAAACAACACAAGACACAAAAGTAGCAGCAGAGAAGACCCCCTAATTTATAGGCCTGTATCATTGACAATTGTAATAGTCAAAATAATGGAAAAAATAATTAAAACTAAGTGGGTAGAACATCTGGAGAAAGATATAATATCAGACAGTCAGTATGGTTTTCAATCTGGAAGATCCTGTGTAACGAATTTATTCAGTTTCTATGATTGAGCCACAGATATTTTACAGGAAAGAGATGGTTGAGTTGACTGCATCTATCTGGACCTTAAAAAAAGATTTTGACAGAGTTCCACATAAGAGGTTGTTCTGGAAAATGGAACATATTGGAGGGGTGACAGGTAAGCTTCTAACATGGAGGACAAATATTCTAATTGATAGAAAAATGAGGGAGGATCAGAGGCAATGTATCGGACTGGAGAAGTGTCACAAGTAGAGTACCACAGGGTTCAGTTCTTGCACCGGTAATATTCATTGTTTACATAAACGACCTACCAGATGGAATACAGAATTATATGAACACATTTGCTGATGATGCTAAGATAATAGGAAAGATAAGAAACTTAGATGATTGCCATGCCCTTCAAGAAGACCTGAACAAAGTATATGAAGCACCACTTGGCAAATGGAATTTAATGTGAATAAATGCCAGCTAGGAAGATTCCAGAACCTCATAATGCATCCAATAAGAAGAAGAAGAAACTCAAAAGAGGAATGGTCCATCATAGAAGCAAACTCTATCTTGCAGGAGGTACTTAAAAAAAAAAAAAAAAATTATCCTCCCAAGCCACTGATGGAGGGACTAAAGGACAAACATCTGAAAGACAATTCATACAAGCCTAATAGCACACCAAAACCCATTGAACCCACAGGTGATTTCCAGGGCCAAAATGGTAAACCAACCAGAACAGCCAGATACTGTAGACATTACGTCAGACCTAAGAGTAAGCCAATACAGCCTGGGGCTACATGCCTGTGAAGGCTGACTTCAGTGTGCCATAAATGTTAAGGATGCGAGCCACCTGGCTGAAAAAGTGGAGCCTGCATGGCAGAAGCAACCCAGGAAATCTACTGGGAAGTGGTCACAACCTTACCAGCATAAGAAATGAGAGCTCAGGCTCTGGAAGGGCCTGGGATCCATTCTTCCACTAAATTAGTGGGGGAAGTGGGGTGAATGAACACATGCTGATTGAGAGATTCTTTCATTTGTCTACACTGTTGGGAAAGTACAGTAGACGGATTGCAAGGCTTATGTCTCCTTTGAATCCAGCTGTCCGTTTTGGCTTGCCGACTTTCTGGATGCCTTCCCCAGCAAGGTGATGGAGTGTCATTTTCTCCCTGCTCCTCTTTACTGAAGCCAGGTTCTGGCTCTGGTCCCCGGTAGACCTAAAGAACTCTGTGGCTTATGTGATCAAGTAGTCTAGAGCCATCTCAGCAAGATACCTGTAGCTTCAGGGAACCACAAAGAGCTTTCCCAGAAAGTGGGGGGTGGAGATAATCATTGTTTGAAATGTCTAATGAGGATCTGCATTTGGCCATTCCACAAGAAACTTTGTGCTTTATAAGATACAGGGTATAATTAAATTTATTTCAGTAACAGGTTTATCTCTTCCAAAAGTATCCTCTATATTCTACAGTTCCACATTTATAAGTCTGATTATCTTCTATCCGATTCATTATCCTCTAAATGAACTTCCCTTCCTTGATAGGGGTGGCGTCATGTAGAATTCCTCATACTGGCTTGAATTTATAACTCACATTAATTTGAAAATATGGTCCTATCAAATCCTTAAATTTACTTATTATCTGGTTGGTTTTTGGCACATTTTTAAAGTGCATACATGAAAATTTTAATTAAGTTTAGTGAGTAATTTTTTTTATTGCGAAGCCTTCAAACTACTGAAAATGTAATTTTAAATAATAAATATTCTGAGATTTATAGGACATTTACCTAAAATACAGAATTACATATCAACAATTCAAGTTATTTTAAATGTCAGAAGGAGTACTTTAGTACAGTATACATTAATGAACATAAATCTATAAAAGATAATGCATTACTGAGTATTACTGAGGTAAAAAAAAAATAATTATAATAAATATTTGTATTCTGTATTTTACTTGGAAGATAAAATATGATCAAATAAGGAAAGGCTTCATATCTAGTACTGGAAATCAGAAAGATTTCAAGTAGTGCAACAAAATTTCATGACTAATGTATTCACTAAAAATTTAAAAATAAATCAAATTTAAGCAGTAAACCAATGAAAAGATGGCATAATGGCAACTAAAATTATTCAAGACGTCAAAGCATTAAAATATCATTCCTTTACCTTCAGGCAAACTCCTTATGTGAATTACTTTCTCCTTTTATACGACTATCACAAAAATATACCTTGCGTCTGCGTGGCGGCGGGATAATGAAGTAAGAAGTTACTTTATGGTCTCGTAGATACTGTGAACGTAAGTGACCATCAGCGAGCTCCACTTCATACTCGCCAGCCAGGCAATCTAGAGTTGCTTGCGTTATATGCACACGCCTGTGGAAGTTTAATTTTCCTTTAAATGACAAAAGTTGTTTAATATATTATAAAAACACCTTCCACAAATTTAATTATCATCTTTGTCATTACCCTGTTTCCCCACATCTATGGGGTGGGAAAACATCAGAAATAGGAGAGTAATGTATAGGAAAAAGTTAATGATATTCAAGAGACGTCATGCCCTTCATCAAATTTTCCAAACATTACTATAGCATCACAGAATCGACACTGTCATACTGCAGCAAAACATTTACAATATCTACAAACCACTCAACTCTTAAGCAGCTAACAATAATTACACAACCCGTTCTCGCAAATTCGTAAAGTCAATATTGACTTATTAACTACGTGCATAGGTGATATACTAAACATAATAGATACCCCTAAAAAGATTCATAGAAAACACCGACCTTACCTAACCTTGTTAGTATCTTAAGATAAGCATCTTATTGCTTCGTAATTACAATTATTACTTAACCTATACCTATTATAGGTTAGGTAATAATTGTAATTACGAAGCAATAAGATGCTTATCTTAAGATACTAACAAGGTTAGGTAAGGTCGGTGTTTTCTATGAATCTTTTTAAGGGTATCTATTATGTTAAGTATGTCACCTATGCACATATTTAATAAGTCAATATTGACTTATTAAATTTGCGAGAACGGGTTGTAATTACAACTGTTCTTTACTGCATTAGGTGTATTCTGCTAACCTGTTTTATTAATATCTGCACTAGTAACAATAAGCAAAATTTAGTCCTACTGATGAAATCTTGTAATCAATAAGAACAAATGTCTGTGCAGTTATAATAACCTTAAGGGAAAAAACTCAGGGCCATGATTCAACAAGCATTTACTAAAGTACAGTACTTATGAACCTGCTGATCTGTTCTCAATCTTTGGCAGCTTTGTTTCCATTTATTAGACAGTTTATGAGCATTGAAACCTCCCAATCAAATAATATTACTGCATTATAAAGAACTTTTTAGTGCTCCAAAGCTCATAATCTGTTTAATACTTAAATAAAGCTGCCAAAAATTGAAAAAACATGTACAGGTTCGCAATACTTGCATGACGGCTTGATGAGTCCAGGTCTTGCATTGAATGTAATGAAATGCCTCTTTCCACTTAGGCCTTGGTGGCTTCCTAAAGTTAGAACATGATTTGCATCAGCCCTAGTTGTTTCTTAATAGCATACTGGAGACAGAGCCAGAATATGGCCCACTCAAGGAGGGGCAGTGAGCAGGCAATTGTTACAATCACCCTTACCATGTAAAGTGTCAAAAGTAACAGAAGTAAGCAGGCAATGGCAAGGTTCACAGAGAAAAGAAAACTGAAGCAGCAAATGATTCTACAAATGATCTACCCAATAGTTAGTTTGAACCCTCCTAGTTACAGCTGGTCATTGCCAGGTGGTAGCACCCTGAGAGCTGTTTGCTTCCGTGTCAACAATAACTCAGTCCAGAGTCTAAAACCACCAATCTGGGTGTGAGGCAACTTGGCGACAGCTGGAGGTGTGCACAGTAACTACAGAAAATGAAAAAGATGTGTGTGAAATGCTAAATGAACAATTCTAAAGTGTGTTTGTTCAAAATGAAGATTTCACTGAACCAAACCCAATACCAATTCTAGAGCAAGCCATGGAATACATAGAGGTATCTCAAGACAAAGTGGAAAAATTACTCAAGGGGCTAAGAAGAAATAAAGCAGTTGGACCTGATGGAGTTTAACCTTGGGTACTGCAAGAATGTGCAACTAAGCTGAGCATTCCACTTCAATTAATATTCCAGACATCCTTGTGCATATGAATCTTAGCAGATATTGTAGATGGAAAAAGGCAAACATAGTACTAATCTATAGAAATGGTAGTTGACAGGAACCTCTAAATTACAGACTGGTATCATTAACAAGCGTGGTAGTCAAAACACTAGAAACATTAGTTAAAGCCAAATGTGTTGAACACCTACAGAGTAATGATATAATAGTTAAACAGAATAGCTTTTGAACAGGAAGATCCTATGTAACACATCTGCTTAGTTTTAAGATAGAGCCACAGTGATAATACAGGAAAGAGATGGTTGGGTTGACTGTCTATCTGGACCTAAAAATGGCTTTTGACGGAGTTCCACACAAAAGGCTGTCCAGGAATCTGGAACATGCTGGAGGAGTGACATGGAGACTTTTGACATGGATGAAAAACTTTCTAACTGACAGACAGATGAGGGCACTAATCAGAGAATGTATCCGACTGGAGGAGTGTTACTAGCAAAGTACTACAGGGTTCAGTTCTTGCACCACTAATGTTCATTTTCTAAATAAGTGATCTGCCAGAAGAAATACAAAATTATTTGAACATGTTTGCAGATGATGCTAAAATACTGGGGAAGATATGAGGCACAGACCATTGTAATGCCCTTCAAATTGATCTAGATAAAATAAGTTCTTGAAGCGTAAAGTGCCAAATGGAATTCAACGTGAATAAATGCCATGTTATAGAATGTGGAATCGGAGAAAATAAGCCCCACACAACTTACAAATTATGTGGAAAGAAATTACAAAACTCTAATAAAGATTGAGACTTAGGGATGGTTTGGACAGTAAGCTGTCACCATAGGAACACAAAGAACATTGAGAGAGGAGCATATGTGTTGCTTTCCAACTTCAGACTTGCTTTTAATTATATGAATTGTACTAAAGAAATGGATTAAAAATAATCCAAAAATAAGAAAACTAATCCCAAAATAAGAAATGGACTAAAGAAATAGTCCATATATATATGGATTATATGGATTAAAATACTAAATAAACTGTTCATGACTTTTGTGAGACCAAAATTGGAATATGCAGCAGTTGTATGGTGCCTAAATCTCAAGAAGCACAAAGAAACTGGAAAAGGTGCAGCGACATGCTACAAAATAGAAAACAAGAGTTACGAGTAGAGACTACAGACATTTACCCTTAACTGCGTTGCCTCCAAATATGACACCCCCCCTGTCATATCAATTCCTGTTACTATTTTGTACGTAGTGATCATATCACCTCTTTCTTCTGTCTTCTAGTTTTGGCATGTTTAATGCTTCTAACCTCTCCTCGTAGCTCTTGCCCTTCAGTTCTGGGAGCCACTTAGTAGCATGTCTTTGCACCTTTTCCAGTTTGTTGATGTGCTTCTTAAGATATGGGCACCACACAACAGCTGCATATTCTAGCTTTGGCCTAACAAAAGTCGTGAACAGTTTCTTTAGTATATCGCCATCCATGTATTTAAATGCAATTCTGAAGTTAGAAAGCATAGCATAGGCTCCTTGCACAATATTCTTTATGTGGTCCTCAGGTGATAGTTTTCTATCTAGAACCACCCCTAGATCTCTTTCTTCATCAGAATTCTTTAAAGATTTCTCACATAATATATAGGTTGTGTGGGGTCTATGTTCTATTCCACATTCCATAACATGACATTTATTAACATTAAATTCCATTTGCCAAGTGGTGCTCCATATACTTATTTTGTCCAGGTCTTCTTGAAGGGCATGACAATCATCTAAATTTCTTATCCTTCCTATTATCTTAGCATCATCAGCAAACATGTTCATATAATTCTGTATACCAACTGGTAGATCATTTATGTACACAATAAACATCACTGGTGCAAGAACTGAACCCTGTGGTACTCCACTTGTGACATTTCTCCATTCCGATACATTGCCTCTGATTACTGCCCTCATTTTTCTATCAGTCAGAAAATTTTTCATACATGATAGAAGCTTACCTGTCACCCCTCCAATATTTTCCAGTTTCCTGAACAACCTCTTATGTGGAGCTCTGTCGAAAGCCTTTTTTTAGGTCCAGATAGATGCAGTCAACCCAACCATCTCTTACCTGTAATATCTCTGTGGCTCGATCATAGAAACTGAGTAAATTCGATACACAGGATCTTCCAGATCGAAAACCATACTGTCTGTCTGATATTATATCATTTCTCTCCAGGTGTTCTACCCATTTAGTTTTGATTAGTTTTTCCAATACTTTCACTATTACACTTGTCAATGATACAGGTCTATAATTGAGGGGGTCTTCCCTGCTGCCACTTTTGTAGATTGGAACTATGTTAGCCTGTTTCCACACGTCTGCTACGATTCCTGTACACAGGGATGCCTGAAAGATCAGGTGAAGTGAAATGCTGAGCTCAGATGCACATTCTCTCAGAACCAATGGTGAAACGCCATCTGGGCCAGCTGCTTTGTTCTTACCGAGCTCCTTTAGCATATTTTCCACTTCATCTCTAGGCACCTCTATCCGCTCTATGTTGTTCTCTGGAATTCTTATTGTGTCTGGTTCCCTAAAGATTTCATTTTGTACAAACACACTTTGGAACTTTTCGTTCAGTGTTTCACACATTTCCTTTTCATCTTCCGTGAATCTATTTCCCATATTCAACCTCTGAATATTACCCTTTACCTGCAATTTGTTGTTTATGAATTTATAGAATAGACCTGGTTCTGTTTTACATTTGTCTGCAATCCCTTTTTCAAAATTTCTTTCTGCCTCTCTCCTCACTGCCGTGTAGTTGTTTCTCGCATCTTTGTATCGCTGGTATGTTTGGGGGTTCAGCCTCTTCCTGTATTGATTCCATTTTTGTGTCTTTTGGTCTCTAGCCCTCTCGCAATTTCTATTGAACCAATCCTGTTTCCTAGTTCTGCATCTCTGTTTTGGTATAAATTTTTTTGTGCCTTTATCATATATTTCACAAAACTTGACATACATCTCATTCACTTCCTTGCCTAGCATCAAGTCTGTCCAATTATACTCACTAAAAAAATTTCTAAGGTCACCATAATGTCCTCTCCTGAAGTCTGGTTTTTCAACTGCTTCAACCTCCTTATTTTCTTGCAGCTTATAACGCATTGCATACTTTATTCCCAAAAAGACATAGTCACTTTTACCCAAGGGAGGAAGGTACTGAATGTCAAATATCTCTTCCTCCTTCCTGGTAAATATCAAATCTAGCATGGAGGGAACGTCCCCTTCCCTCATCCTCGTAGCTTGTTTAACATGTTGATACAAGAATGTTTCCAGGATGAGGTCTACAAATTTACAGGTCCAAAAATCTTCTGTTTTAGCTTCATATGCTTCCCAGTCTATGGATTTCAAGTTGAAGTCACCGACTATTAACAGTCGTGATCTATCGTTATCCGCTCTCGCTATAATCTCTCTCATTATTGTTATAAGACCTTCACGTTTACTATCTAGCTCCTCCTTTGACCATGTGCTGCTTGGCGGTGGACTATATGCATTTATTATCATTAGTTTATCATCCTCATGGCAGATCTCTAGTGCTATTATGTCAACTTCTTGTGGATTGGCAGTCATTATTTCGTTCACCTTTAGGTGTTCTTTTACCAGCACAGCAACGCCACCGCCTTAACTAATTTTTGTGTCCCGTCTCCAAATTGAGTAGCCCCTTGGGAATATGACCTCATTTAAAATTACATCTTCAAGTTTTGTCTCCGTGAGTGCAACAATGTCTGGTGTCTGCAGCTGTATTACATCACTTAACTCCAGTATCTTCGATCTCACTCCATCTATGTTGGTGTATGCAATCTTCAGGAACTTGTTCCCCCTCTCCTTTTTCTTCACTTTCCCTCTCTCTACTGATTTTGTTGGTTTGCCTTTATGTACCACTTTACTGGTTTGCCTACCCCTATCACTTTGTAGAAAAAAGAATTTATTTCTTCTTTATTCCTGCTTTCATTTAAATGTTTTGCCTTGGCGAGGTTCAGTTTCAGCTTCTCTCTATCTTCTTTTGAAAGATCTCTGTGGTCTAGTGGTCTAGCATTTGTGAGAGGCAGCAAGGCCCTGAGCGAAGCCCATTTTGCTCAAGGTTATATAGATGCTATGATTCCATGTGTTATGCGATCTTACTCTTTAGCACTCTTTCAAAGATTTTTATGATGTGTGAAGTTAGAGCTATTGACTTATAAGTTTTTGCATCTGCTATACTACATGGTTTGTGAAGTGGTGCTATCTCCATTGCTCTAAGTATGTATAGGATAACACCAGTATCCAGGTTCTGTCTCCGAAAGATGCTTAGGGCCTATGGTGGTAGTTTTTGCAGTTCTTGATAAAATAGAATTTCAGAAGTCTGGACCTGGTGCAGTGCACACAGACATGCTGTCCATGGCTACTTCAAGTCCAGTGGAGTTAGAGCAACAGCTGACATATGGTTCGACGGTGGCATCACATTCATAAAAATTTTGTTTGGATCACTAATCTTCAATGTTTTCAGAGGTTCACTGAAAACCAAATCATACTGTAGCATCTGTATTTCACCCATTTCTTTGTTGTCATCTGTAGAGGTTCCATCACCTTTGCACACTGCCCAATGCTGGATGTAGTTTTTGTTCTAGATTCTGTTCTACAATCAGGATGGATGACCGTATCCCTGAGGCAGAGGCGATGAACAACCCTCAAAATCGCCCAAGACAAGAATAAGGCTGGAAGAAGTACCATGGCAAAACCGCACCCACATGGGTTTTCCAGGGTCCGTAGAGTGAATAAGCCCTACAGGAAGTTCAGGCACTGATGCTGGTAAACTGGTAAACCAGTTGCCTAAGCTGGTAAACCCTGTCTAAAGCAGGCAAACTGACTGCAAGTAGCAGTCAGTTTGCCTGCTTTAGACAGGGTTGCCACCAAAGCTACCAGGACCCCCCCTCACAACTCACCCTAGCCGCAGTGCGCCCACCAGGGGGCAAGGACAACCACTAGTGAGAAAGCCCCCCAATGGGGAGTGTCCCCCGAATGCCCCAGGGAAGCGAACCCCGAGATGAAAGGCCAGCAGTACTTATAGAGCACCTAGGGAAGGGAACCATAGGCGCATGCTGTTCCAGTACTCCAAACACCTGACAACTCGCACACCTCCATGTCATAACACCACCGCAAGGGCAAAACCACCAAAGAAAATGAGAACACGGAGCCAGAGCAAAAAAGACCACTCGGCACGACTACATCAGTAAAACACTGAAGGGTGATGGCCTGACCTACCCAGACCGGCTTCTCCTTCCCCCTGGGGTGGTTGGAGTTAACAAGTAGGCGGGTTAGACGAAGTTTCACTTGTTTGTTTGCTTTCTGAGGGAGTTTAATGTGCTTGAGAGGATGTAGGTCGCATTTTTTAACCAGGCAGTGGTTTGTTTCGATTCGCCAACCTTTCTGGGTGCCATCCCTGATCAATGGCAAGATGACATACTTTAAATGTAAAGTGTTCATGGCCATTACTCCCTTCGCCTCTGAGGGGGGGCCAGGTTCTGGCTCGTGGTCTCCGGTAGGCTTACAAAGAACTCTGATGACATGCAAGTTGTATGGCACTTGATCAGTACGATAGCTTTAGGGAGCCAACAAAAATGGATAATAATACTGTACCCTGGAACTGTAAGACATTGTATATACTGTATTAGTTAAATTTCTCACAAAAATTAGTATAACAGCAATAACAATGTATAGAAGGAATGTACAAGGGAGAGGACTTACCCAGGTTCCCCTCCAGCTTCCATCATGTTGGCTAGAGTGACATCATTAGACCACACATCATACTGCCATTTACGAAGGCCCAAAACTCCACACAAAACACGACCTGTGTGGATTCCCACCCTCATGTTTAGCTGTACATCTGTTGCATCAACTACTGATCTGTAAAAATGCATTACTAAACATAAGCTAGCCTTCTTTGAAGGTTTAATTTTTAGTCACATCCATTTTCTCAAACAAGTATAATATAAAATAGCAATTTTAAAGTGAAAATACTGTATATATATAATAAATCAAACAAATGGATAGGTTTAACCATTACATTGCTCCAATTGCTTGAGAACAATTGGCTCATATGTTCCATATTAAAAGCCTGGAGATGATTTAAGATGTCCAATTTGATTGAAAAGCCCCACCCAACATTCTAGGGGGATGTCCTTTAGTAAGCACTAGTGACCTCTGTCCATTAGGCAGATTTCTCTAGGATCGGATGTAGTCAAGAGAAATGCTGAATTCAAATGTTTAAAATTAAAAAATTCAAATGTTTATTTAGGTAAAGTGCATACATGCAAGAGGTGATACAAATATTGATGAATTTATAGATAGAGCTAGTATATACAATGCCTAAAGCCACTATTACGCAAAGCGTTTCAGGCAGGAAAAACACTAAAGACTAAAACTTAATACTAACCGAGATTAAAGTATAAAATGTGTTGAGAAAATATAAAAAAGGGGGGAACATGGCAGAAAAACAGCAAAAATACAATTTGGTCGACAAACAGCATTGTTTAAAAATAACAAGACATGGGTTGACATTATAGGGGTAAGGTAGGTTACAGGGAGTTAATTAGGTTAATTATTTTGACCAGACCACACACTAGAAGTTGAAGGGACGACGACGTTTCGGTCCGTCCTGGACCATTCTCAAGTCGATTGTGATTAGGAGGTAGGGACAGGCAATAAATAGGCAAGAGAGAGCTGAGGAGGAAAGTAAGGTGTAGGGGATAGTAGTAATAATGAGAACTGCAGAAGGCCTATTGGCCCATACGAGGCAGCTCCTATTATAACCACCGAAGGAGATAGTAATAGGAATAAGCAGAGGATAGCAAGGGAGCGTAGGATAAGACCATGAACAGAAAAAGGGAGAAGAGAGAAAGAAAAGGAAAGAGAAAGAAAGATAAATGGAAGGGGTAAGCTTATGTTAAGTCACGTTTGTTAGAAAGATTAGAGCATTTGAGTATATACTGTGAAAGGGAAGAGTCCACAGCAACAAAGCCAGGACTCAAGTTCATGTTGGGTACATTGTGTATAAGAGCCGATTCTACAAGACGGCGTCTGTGTAGAGTAGAGGCAGGAAAGATTATTTTGGAGGAAGACCAATCAATGAGATGATTAGAATCCCTCACATGGCAGAAGAGAGCATTGTTAGTGTCTGCAGACTTAACACTTCTCTTGTAAATTATTCAGGTTAAATTCAGGTTAATTATTATTTGAATATTTTAGAATAATTATTATTAGAATTATTAGAATAAAACACATTCCTAGTGTCCTCGACAAGGACAGGAAGCCGGTGACTTGTTGAAGGTCCCCCCCCCCCTTCCCCTATTTGCCTTGATGATCTTTTCCTGGTAAAAAAGCATCTCCTATTCTCAGTCCAACATTGTGGCTTATTGAGCTTGAAATTGTTGCTCCTTGTTTGTGTTACATGTGACCTTTTTAAGAAATTGTCCAGATCAACATACTCTTACTTGTTCAGTACTGTAATTTAAAAAGTTTCATTTAGATTCGCCCTCTCATGCCTGGTTTGCAGTGTTGTTAGCCCTGTGGCCTTCAACTGTTCCTGATATGAGAGATGACCTAGCTCTGGAATGACTTTTGCTGCCCAGTGTTGCACTTTCTCCAAAGCAGCTATGTCCTCCTGGAAATGAGGTTTCCATGCTTGGATACAGTAATCCAAATGGGGGCGCACCAGAGATTCATACAGCATGAATCATAAGAGACAAAGCCCAAGATGTAAGGAGGCTGCAAATTCCTAAAGCCCTACACATAAAAGTAGAACCCCCCCCCCTTCACCCCATAAATACTCAAATTACAAAACCATTCACTGTACCCATTATGACAGTGAGAGCAAGACATGAACATGACTATGCCAATGATGACATCACTGCCCAAAATGCCATGCCCACTACGGTCACCTGAGCTCTAATTACCCAATTACCTGACTTATCTTTGTATGCTTAGTCTATTGACCAATGCACTTTACCTCTACTCTTTACTTTGACCCCTCTCCTGACAGAAAAGAGCTTTTCTCTCCTTTTTACCTCTCTCCTTTCTCCTCCTCTCTCTCCCCTTCTTGTGAAACAATGCATGACACACCCTGTAAAATGGAGCCGAGGAACTATCAACTCTAAGCGCAAGCTCCAGCAGCTCCTCAAGCACTGTGCAATACAAGGTGACAGAATTCAGAATAAGATGCCAATCAAGAAATGATCAGGATAAAAATGAAAGAACCACCTGCTCAGAAACAGACGTACAATGCCTAAGAAACAACCATCAAGAAACTTCATTCTGCCACCTCAATAAATCCACAGGTGGCACCATCAAGGTGGGACACCAACACAACCACCTGATTGCCACGAAGATGGTGATACACCTGCATTAGAAACTCCAGACACAAAGAATGGAGGAGAAGTTCAAACCAGCAGAGTACGTTGCTTGACTGACCTTCTGGAAGAGGCACAGAAAAATTACCTGGTTAAGACACCAAGCAAGCAGCACAGGAAACAAAAGCTGGGCCAGCCACCATAGAGCCAGAAGGATCACCTAATCTTCATAGCACTCCAACTGCATCAGAACCCAGAGCAACAGCTGGACTGGGGTAAAGAGGTACTGAAACCCCCACCTTGACCAGTCCAGCTGAAAGGCATCCACTACAAAGGCCTTGCAGTTGGAAAATGGTGATGTGTATAGGGGTACAGGCCGAGACCATGCCGACGTGAAGAGGTCCATGTCCGTGCACTCAAACACCTCGCAGAGCCAATGTAAGGAATCGTCGTTGAAAGTCAACTCTGTGAAGATGGGACAGAACTGAAACAGTCCATCAGGAAGGATGTTGGACATTCCCAGAACATGAATGACACAGAGAGCCAGATCCTGGAGAATCCAGAAAAAAGAGCTATACACAATGTCCAGCTCCAAAGAGGCAGAAACCGAGCATAATTAGCGCAGTCAATTGAATGATTACAATCTTTTAAATGACTGGGCTAATTCAAGCAAAATTGTGGTGTGTAAATCAGTTACTGAAAGAAATATTATTGAATCTTCATTTATAAAAAGTAGTGAATTAGATAACATTAATGTAAGTCCAGAATTATATAAATTAGACAACTTTATAATTGGTAAGATTTGTGATAGATATAAAATTAAGTAAACAATAAGTTAATATCCATTGAACACCCCTTTTAACCCTTTAACAGCACAACAACACACATGATGTGTTCAGTGACTTGCAGTAACTTGCGCTCCACATCATATGATGTATTGGAGTACTACGCAAGATTTAAACGGCCCGCGGATACACGGGTGTTATGATCCCAGGCAGCCGAAAAACGAGTCTCCCCTTTGAGAATTATTCTATCAAGCCTGACCTGACTAGAAGGTCTAGGAAATATAGAGGAGAAGACACAGATGTAAAATAGTTGGTTGGATATGATGAACAATTTGAGGTTATGGGCAGTGAATAAGAAAATAGATAAATGACTGGTTAGGAGATGTGGATAATTTGCTAGAGGCGTAAGGCTCGTTTAGAGAGGAGCTTAAGTCACTTGAGAACCAGACATCGCGAGGGGAAGCTGCGCTGTGTGAGCTGTCAGAGAGGGACCCCTAGTGATATATCTCCAAGAGAAGGGAAGTGTGCAGACGTTCTGGCTTTGGAATCGAGCTGGGAACGTTGTGGTCTCAAGTCCTGGACGGCGAGGAGAGTTTATTAAGCCGCCCAGAGACATTATCGTGGGCCGTGGGAGCGCCCTAATCAGACACCGTCAGAGGGATAGCACCCTCGACTAGACAATCTGTGGTAAGCACGATTTAAGCCAGTTCATAGTGATTGCTTGTAGTTGGTCGTGTGTCCAGCGACAGTAGCGAATGTTTATTGATAAGTTAGACATGTTTTGGTAAGGCAGGAAGCCTAAATAAGAGGACGGAGACGAGAGAGACAGCTGGAGGGATGAGCAGCACGTCCTCTCCCGTCGACCGCCTGAAGCCAACTGACTGGCGGCGGAGGACCCTCCCAGAGTTGAGGAGCCGCCCGCCGGGCAAGGCGGAGCATGGACCAGCCCAAACGGGGGAGTCCACTCTCACAGTGTGTAGAGAGCAGATAGATGTTGGATGCAAACATAGTGTGGATTATTTCGTCTATGTGTTTATAAGGAAACGTTTTTATTGGCGTGTCAATGGGTTGCAGGTTTGTCTTTGGGGAAGAAGTTGCTGTGAACTTCGAGCCAGTAGAGTGAGTTAGTGGAAGAGACTCCAAGACTGTGGAAGGAGTAGTGTACTCCAAGGAAGAGTAGCCCCAGAGTGAAGAGTATGACCTCGAGCTGTGAGGAGAAGCAGTGAAGAGGAGTGTCACGTGCTTCTGTAATGTCAGTGGTGAAGCACCATTGTTGCTCAAGGAAAACTTCATGGTGTAGCAGCCTGGAAGGGCTGCGGAGGATCCTGGTAGTTAAACCCGGAAGAACCTGAAGAGATCAGGGTAATGAACTTCCAGATGTGGAAGGGAAGTTCTGGTTGATTACTGGTAGGGAGTTGGTAGTGTGTTTGGTTGCCATTAGCATGCAAGACGCAGTGAAAGGTGAGTGATTGTTTGCCATTTTTGTGCCAAGGAGTGCTTATACTGAAGTACAGTGGTACCTCGGAACACGAGTGTCCCTGTATGCGAGTTTTTCGGAATACGAGCCGGATTTCCTCGGAAAATGTGTCTCGGAAGGCGAGGGTTACCTCGGAACGCGAGTTTGTTGATACGCGTTCAGGCCGACTTAGCGCGTGGTGGTACGGCAATCGTCGCCCCTCTGCCCCTCCACCCCTCAGTTTACCATTGTCTCCCGCCCAGTGACTATCCCTTCTGAATTCTTCACAAGGATTTACAGTTTTATGTCGTTTTTTTT